CTGCAGGCTCTGGGAGAAAAGTAGAGGGTAGGTCTATAGAGCCCTGCATGGCTACAAAATGTATCTGTATCTGCAGCCAAAAAAATGAGGTGTGGATATCCACACTGACATTTGTGGATGCAAATATCCACGGATACAACTCTTATCAATTGATATGTAGGTCACTACAGATTATAAGACATAAAAATAGCTATACTAGGTCAGACCCAAGGCCCATCTAGCCCAGTGTCCTGTCTACCTACAATGGCACAATGCTAGGTGCCCCCACAGGAAATGAACAGAACAGGTAATCCTCAGGCAACCTCATTCCCATCACCTATTCTCAAGCAGTGACAAACAGAAGCTAGGGACACCATATCCCTGCCCATCCTGGTTAATAGCTATTGATGGACCTAACCTCCATGAATGTATCTACCTCTTTTGTGAACCATGTTAAAGTCCTGGTCTTTACAACATCCTCTGGCAAGAAGTTCCACGAGCTGACTCTGCATTGCATGAAGAACTAAGCTTGGCTGTATCTGCCTGAGCCTAGGGACAAAAACAAGACAGAGGAGAGGAGAAGCAGGGACAGAAGAAAGAAGCTGAAAACCAACTCCCAGTTAAAGCTTTCCCATGCTCTATCCCAACCCCAGTGTTTGGAACACATTTTTAAATACACTCACAACCCCCAATCTCCTGCACTACGAACTAGCATAGCTCTACTCTTAGAGGTTCCCCAGCAGGAGACTTGCAGGTGGTTTCCATTCCCTTTCTAGAGCACAGGGAGCAGATCAGGACTGCAAATCTATTAACTGGGACCCATGGACTGTTTTGAAATATCACCTTCAGCCCCTGGAACCAAGAGACTGGACAGCACCAAATGTCAATTATGAAATAGGAAAAGTCCACTGGGGATAGGACAGTTTAACCATGTAAATGGTTCATCAACAAGCTTGGTTTGCAGTCACAAGCAGGCTCCCGCCTTGCTCCTGGGGAGACACATGCTACCCCCGCGCTGCTGTCTCTGATACAGAGGCAGCAGTATGGGGTGGCAGGCAGGAGCTGACAGCCACCCTGCATGTAACTGCTAAAATTTTCAGCAGTTACACGATTACTCAATTACACACATTTTAACATGCCTTAAGTCCACTTGACTTTTGCCGTGGAAGCGCATGATGCATTTACGTATGAATCTGTCATGCTTGTTCCAACTGTAATTATCCATACAGCTACAGTAATCATCACAGTGAATAAATGAACTTGCTCAAGGCCTTGCAAGGATTCAGTGTGAGAACCAGCCTGGGCACAGGAATGGCTCGAGCTGGCCCTGCTTGTGTACAATGGTGAATATAATCTTTTAAGGACTGAAAACATAATATTTAAAATGGTCAGCCACATGGTTAAACTGGAGAAAATGAATATTTTCCTGCTGGTCATGCACCAAATTACTCATAGCTCGCATAGTCCCATTACCTTCTTGAAAGCTGTTTTCCTACCACAGAAATGTTCTACACTGTTTGTGTGGAAAAAACATCATACTATTGCCTCTTAGGTTTCTTATAAATTTGTATTTGCTGGGCATATGCAAAGAGATGTATCACAAATCCTAATCACAATTTGCAGTTAGAATTTCAGACAGTTCTCGGCTATTTATCACTCAATTAATGTCCTGCTAAGCTCCTTGCATCCACAGAAATGAACCTGGAAAAGGGGGAGGGTTTTTTAAAAAGGGAGGGTTGCTATCCCCACACCATGCTTCTCTGGGCCTCATAACCCTCATCCACACAATTTGGCTAGGTTGTGCTGGCCATATGGGCTATACCAGGTTCTCCCTCTCCCTCCTTTTCCCTCTTCAGGAGACCAGAGTTTGTAGCAATGTATTATACAGAACTCCCTTCTCTGCAGTGTGGGGCAGCCAGCAAGTAAGGAAATATGGCTTAGCAGTGAGCTGGCAAGAAAGTGGACAGCAGGCCAGAAGCAAGTGGCTTCCTGAAGATCCCTTGAGAACTGTGTGTTTGGAGCCCACCTCCCCCCCATGGAGATTCCTCAAGTAAAGAGTGCTGGAGTTTCCACTCCTCTAGATGGGTTAAGCTCAACAGGTGAGAATGAGGATCAGTATTAATATGTTAAGAGTTTGTCAAAAAAAAAAAAAAAAAAAAAAAAAGAGCCACCAGCAGTTCTCTTTTGCTCAACAGCTACAACATCCCCACTCTTTGGGACTGGGTAGTGCCAGCTCTTACTCCAGTAGAGTGTATGCTCCTAGGAGCTTTTTCCACTGAACATTTGACTCTGACCAACAACTAGTTTGCACTAATGAATTGATTTCTTTGTGTTACTGCAGACGTCATGGGTTCACATTACCACTTATTTAACATTCAAACCCTGCGTCTAAGTCAATCAGCAAGGTACTGGCTTACAGAAATCTGTATGGCACAGCGCTGAAGCCAGGGCCATACCACGATACTCTTCAGATGTTGTCATTCCCTCCTTCTGGAAGATTTAAGAAGAGTGGGAACTGAAAGTTTTTCAAGCACAAACATGCCCAACTCATTTCCAATAAGTTAGACTCAATGTAGCAGAGTCAGGGTTTGCTCTCCTAGTGCCAATATACAAGCTGCTGGCCAAGACTCTCACTCCTCCCCCAACTCAATTCAGATCAGTGTGGGGGTGGGGCAGCAGCATGGCCCAGCATGTAGCAGCTCTTCTGGGGAGGAAAAAAAAAAAAAAAAAAGCTTTCTGAAACTTCCCCTGAATTGCTGCACTCTGCATGCCACAATGGACAGCTGCTACCTTCTCACTTACAAAAACGTGACCTCAGCCAATCAATCTACAGCCTTAGGGCAGTAAGATACCCTCTTACTTACCACTTTGATGGGCCAAACCTATTGAAAAGTGGCAGCTTTCCTCTTCACCAACAGGCACATGCAATGCAGTTGCTTCAAGAGGTTTGGGAAAAGGGAAGGGAGAGGAAAGAGAGCATGCAGTTAAGCAGTTTCAGGCCCACAGTGGGTCAGTGAGAGACAAAGGCAAGTCCACAAATAGCTGTAATATTATCAAAGCAACTATACATCAGTAAACCTGCATGGACTAATCTGGACTCCTGTCTCCTCTCTCTCTCTCTCATCTAACCAGTTTACTAGGAGTGTATGGGGTAGGGAAACCCCCAAGCCTCTGACACATACTTCTGTATGTGCTTGGCAGATTTAGTAGCCAGCCATCAGTAGAGCCAGGCTCTGTCAGGGATGCAGCTGGGAGAGAGAGAGGAACATCCTGGGTGGACGAGGTTGTATTTCACACAACTCTACTCACACATGGTTCAGAGACAGAACTCACCTCATCTGAATACCTCCAATTCCAGAAGGGGGGGGGGTAGGGGGAGAGGAGTCAGAGACAACGAGCTAAGCTTTTCAGTTACATTTGTTCTCCTTGGTGAGGAAATATGCTTGTGTGGCTAAGACCATGGGTTCTATTTTGGGCTCTACCATTGACTCACCCTGTGACATCCTCAAGATCACACATCGATGTATTTCAGATCCCAGGCTCAGAAGGGTTAACACCCTCAATCTGAAAGAAGAGATTGAAGCTTAACTGTTCATCCAACTCTACACTGATAATTTTACAGCACTGTAAGGCTCTAAGTCAGGAGTGTGAAACACCCCCCCCCCTCAGAACCATGAAGTGCTAGGAGGAACCAGGTTACAGCATTGGGAGCCTCATTCCCAGCGCTGTTAGCTACTCTCCTTGTCAAGGTGGTTTACCTCAGGGAGAGCTCTCTCTCAGCACTTGTGCCATGACTCTGCTTTAAACATAAGTGCAGACAAAGTCTTCATGAAGCATTTTAAGTTATTTGGACAGAAATAATCTACAAGGACAAGTATTCTTCCACTTACAACCTGTAACCATCACTGTTTTAATGCAAAGCTCCTGTATACATTCCTTTTCCCCCACAATGAATGGTTGCTGGCCACATCCCTGAAACAGCTTTCCATTCAACAAATTGCTTCCCACTGCAGCAGTACTGTAATTTCCAACTTTTCTTAAACTCTCCTCGTAGATATAGGCAACTGAATCAGAAGTACTAAGCTTAAAATTCTCTGGCAGTTTTCACCAGCTGAAATCAGCAGCTACTATTACTTTCCTTTCATAAACATAAAGGAAAAAGCCTCTAGCCCATCTTTCAAATATCATGCCCATTATACAGACGGAAAAAAGAGAGGCACAGGCAGGGAAATGACTTTCCCAAAATTACACAGCCAGTCAATGGCAAGGCTTTTGTTTTAGCCACTAAACCAGGGATTCTCAGAGTTTTTTCATATTACAAATTAACGATGAGATTGTCTGTAGCCTTCCTCCCTTCCAAGCATGTACCACCTTGCCTCTAACTAGCACCTAAGTAAGAGAACTACAGCAACTACAACAGCTGCTGACATTTAATAACTGGAAATGACGAGTGCAAGCACCAAGTGACCAGCCAGCTGTCTCCAAAGCACTATCAAGTGGTCCACAGGCCACAATTTGGGAAACTCTGTATTAGACCTTGCTCTTTCCTTTTCAATGAGCCCCACCCACTACAGCAGGCCAGCATTTTCAAACACCTCAGCAACGTGGATGGATGTTGAGAGCAACACACATTAAATTGCTCTTCTTGGAGTCCGCTTAAGAAAGCTGCCAACTTGTAAACAGCAAGAGTCAGTTTTGCTGCCAATACAATTTTGACCTAGAGCAAACGGAAGTGCTTTTCCAGGAATCTAAGGCTGTTGAATCACACTGTATGCTGGCACTAGACCACTAACCCAAGAGGGAAATAACAAAAACAAGACCAAAAAACCACTCCCAGCAGATGTTAAAGGGGGACAGATGACTGCTTTCAAATTATATGGGGACATTCCAAGAAGAAGTAGGTGGTGCAAGTGAGTTTTTCCAAAGAGCTATTTGCCACAGGGGAACAAAATCTCATTCATATTTTCATCATTGTGGTAAAGTTAAGCAAGTAGATTTGATATTCAGGACAGCAGACTTTAATGATATTTTGCAAGATGGTTTTAATAACCATACCACAGAACCTAACAAGCAGAGCCCTGGGTATTAAAGCCTTCATCCACAGTGTGTTTTGCGTAACAAATCACAGATTTAGCCTTATAGGATGCATCAATAGTTTAGAGGGTTTTTTAAATAATTGGTATTATGGTGGTACCTAAAGACCCCCCAACTGAAGTCAGGGACCTAATATACAAAGATATAGTAAAATACAGTCCTTCCTCCACAGAAGTTAGAGCTAAAATAGACAAAGAACATCATCCCCATTTTAGAGATGGGGAGCTGAGACAGAGAAATTAAGGGTACGTCTAGACTACAGGGTTTTGTCGACAGAAGTTGTCGACAGATACTGTCGACAAAGCTTCTGTCAACAAAGAGCGTCTAGACTACATTCAGTTCTGTCGACAAAGCAAGCTGCTTTGTCGACAAAACCCTGTAGTCTAGACACAACCCTACATGCAATAACACCTTCTGTCGACAGAACTCTGTCGACAGAAGGCGTTATGCCTCGTAAAATGAGGTTTACCAGCGTCGACAAAACTGCTGAGTTCTGTCGACGTTATGTCGACAGAACTCAGCAGTAGTGTAGATGCAGGTATAGTTTTGTCAACAAAAGTCCACTTTTGTTGACAAAACTCTGTAGTCTAGACACACCCTAAGTGACTGACCCTAGGACACAGAGGGAATCTGTGGCAGAATCAAAACCCAATCTCCTGTCCCCCAGTCAAGACCACTCAGAAAAGCTGACATACAAGCCAATGGTGCCTTCATGTGCAAAACAAGGCTTTCCCCCTTTTAAAATGGGCATCAGACCATTTATTAAAGTAATTCAACATTTTTGAGATGTGTTGGTATAACTGCCACCAGGCAGATTTGAACCTGTGACCTATGGGGCTTAGTATAGGAGTCTCTACCCTCTGAGCTAAAAGCCAGCTGGCTCTTAGCCCATGATGGAGAGGTCTCTTTTTCTTAGCTATTGCTGTGGTCTAAGTGCCAGTGCATAGGACAGTGAACCATACTAGGTGTGTGGGTTAGCTCTGGGACACTTAGGTAGAACTGGATTTTAGGTCACAAGTGAAATAGCTTTCATATGAGTTCTAGCAGACAGTCTACTAATCTCACAAAGCTAAAACATAACTGGCAGTCTCTGACAAAAAGAAAACTTTCCCGGAAAACACCCACAGGTCAGGATTCAAATGTATGAACAGTACCCTGAGAACGCATAGGAGGGTGGGGAGTTAATGGATATATTCCTAGCACCGTGCATACACTGATAGGCAGAGTTCCAGCCCCAAAGCACTTACAGATTTGTCTTTGAAAATCTGTTTTGGATCAAAAAGTATCAAGAACTTTTGATCTACTCGGGTGTTTTTTCAGAGTCTTGAGAAAAGTTTAATTAAAAAAAAAAATCCTGACAAGCACGACACTGAATTTTTTAATTGTAAAAAAGAGAAAGTTTCACAGGATCAGAACAAACTCATAGATGGGCCATCTGGACAGCACATGGAAAAACTATAACAAGCATGAGGATTTTAGTCATTTGACAGTATCTTCTTGTGGCACAATGAAGACTGGATCTGTGCATAATTATTATTTTTTTTAAATAAAGGAAGCAAACAAAGAATACAAACATTTCATGAGTGAGAATCTTCTGCTTACCTAGAGTGACCTGGGCTTGCAAAATGTCAAACAGCATAATCAATGTTGCCTCTAATCTTTTCCATCCAGGTGCAGAATAATTTTAATGTGCACCAAGTCAAGTGTGAATGTGCACCACCAATAGAAATACAAAGTAGTGATAGGTTCTCTGCTGATCAACAGGGCAGCATTTGGCCACACAAGCACACAGGGAACACTGAACACATTAACATCAGTGATGGGGTATTCCAATGGCCACCATATTGCTTTTCATTTTAAAACCCAGAATTGTAAAAGCAAAGAGAAACAAGATGACATCTATGGGTAGCAAAGTTAAGGAAAATAGGAAGTTTTAAAAAGTATATTATAGAAACAAAACAAAATCCTAACAACGGTACTGTCCACTGGTGAAATTGACAGAATTATCAAAAAGGCAGAAAAGGCAAACTAGTTCAATAAATATTTCTGTTCTTTATTCAGGGGGAAAAAATTATGTAACTCTTTCCATTACACTAGTATCTCAAGAGGACTTTTAACAGCACCCACCTAGGGGGTAGAACCCTCTCTTCCAACAAAATTGGTCTAATGAAAGCTATTACCTCCCCAACCTTGTCTCTCTCATATCCTGGAATCCACACAGCTGCCAGACTATCAACAGCAGCTACTAAAGCTAGACATCTTTAAATCAGCAAGTTCAGTTAATTCACATCTAAGAATTTTAGAAGAGCTGGCTGAGGAGCTTGCTGGACTCACAGGCTGTATCTACACTGGCAAGTTATTCCGGAAAAATCAGCCGCTTTTCCAGAAAAACTTGCCAGCTGTCTACACTGGCCGCTTGAATTTCCGGAAAAGGTTTGATGTCCAAGTACACGTCCCTTGTAGAAGTGTTCTGTCTGTTAAGGACCACCAGAGGGAATTTAGACGTTGCTATAACGAAATTCTGTTTGGGAGAAAACATAAATCCTCTCATGCTCTGGTTTTGCATTCTGTCTTCATGTCAGGGCCCGTAAATGAGCTATGGTGATGAATTTGGATGCCAATCAACTGCTAATGCAGGGGACAGGTGAGAGATATAGTATATCCAATTTCTTCTAAAGACATTTTCCAAATTGAGGGTTTTTTTGGGGGAGAGGGGCGGAAGTGGGCTAGTGGGCTTCTTCAGTGAGAAGAAAAAGCCATCAGAGTCTAGGATTTACTTTTGAGACAATCAAAAATAGGTGAGGCCCTCAGTATGTCACTTGGTCCATCCCCCTGTGTGGGGACAGGATGAAGTATACCTAGACCAGTGATAACCAACCAGTAAATCGGAATCTACCAGTAGATCTTGGAGCCTCTGACAGGGGATCCTGACTGGGTTGGCTGAGAAGCTATCAGCACTGGCACTTCAGTTGCCCCTCCCCCCACTGTTATGCTGCTTCTGCCCTCTGCTTTGGGGCTGCCCCCTTGGGAGGCCTCCTGCTTGCTATGCAGGGTATGGGAGGGAGAAAAGAGGTGGCGCTGATGTCAGGGTGTCCCTCCTCCCCCCATTTCTGTATCCCATTCTCCACACAGAGAGAAGGGGATGGAGGGAGCTTGGCAGTGCAAATCTCTCTCACTCTCACACACTGTGGCTATGTCTAGACTGCAGGCTTCTTTCGAAAGAGGCTCTTTCGAAAGATCGCGTCTAGACTGCAGGCGGATCTTTCGAAAGAGAAATCCGCTTTTTCGAAAGAGAGCACCCAGCGAGTCTGGATGATCTCTTTCGAAGACGGCCTCTTTACATTGAAGAACGCCTTCTTTCGAAAGAGGAACTTTCGAAAGAAGGCATTCTTCCTCGTGAAA